AAAAAAAAAAAAAAAAAAAAAAGGCCAAGTGTGTGCAGGTAGCCATCTACTTAAGAGGCCACTTTCTTGTCCCTATCTAAGTCCATTGCAGTTAGGCATGCTGCTCTGCTTGTCTCTCTTTTTTTTTTAAGCTGCTACAATAAGGTGCTTCTACATGAGCCAGGAGGCTGCTCCAATGCACTGTAATTACAATATGTTGGAGCAGACTTGGTGAATCGGGTCTGCTGGAGTATGGTAATTGCTGTGCTCCAGCCAGCCTCCGTATCCCATGTATTAGTGATCCCACCCTTCAAAATTGTGGCGGCGGGCTTGGGCTAAAATTAATTTGACAAGCTTTAGGTAAAGCGCCCCTGCCAAACTTACATCTTGAAACCTATTTTTTTGCCTCTTAAGTTTTGTTTGAAGCATGTACGTTAAGTCCAACAATCTCAAAAATATGCGTTATCCCAGAGTTTTTTTGCCTACAGAGGAAAAGCTGGTTTAACAAGACCTATTTCTATGGTACTGTGTGACATAACTTGCTATCATAAACGTGCCATATTAAGTTATACAATATTTCTTAATCTACAGAATAAGGTGGGTTGATGAGTCGTCAGTGAAGTTCTCTGGATCCAATGTTCCCTAATAGTCTGCTCACTGTGATGATTGTCTTCTAGCCATTCGTAGTTTCCACCAGAAGGGTTTTTCCTTTGTGTTGGTCAAACTTTCCTTGGATGTCTGAGTGAGCCTGTAGAATAGTGGGGCTTGTTGTTGTTGTTTCTTTGTTTGATTTTTAAAGGTTCCTTCATCTAAACTTGATTGTCCATTTTAGGTGTCATCCTGAGGGATTCTCATGGTGTTGCCCAGGTTCGTTTTGTCACTGGCAACAAAATCTTGAGGATCCTTAAATCCAAAGGACTTGCTCCGGACCTTCCAGAGGATCTGTACCATTTGATCAAGAAGGCTGTTGCTGTTCGCAAACATCTTGAGAGGAACAGAAAAGTAAGCTGCTGCGGCATTTATACACATACCTTTGTCTGCTCTGATGCACTGGAAATCCAGCACATTGGAGCAGACTTGATTTATCAAGTCTGCGGAGCATGCAAACTGATGCACCGGGCACTGCATCTCATATGTTTGTATAAATGGTGAAATACGCATCAGCGCTGAGAAAATGACAGCAGTGCACTTTGAAACTAAAACACCTTCGATGTGTTTTAGTTCAAAAGAGCACTGCCACCATTGTCTCAGTGCTGTGTGCATTTTACCATTTATACAAACGTATGAGATGCAGCGCTGGGCGTTTTTAAAAGCACATTATGTGCATGTGCCCCTGATGACTAGTGGTTTTTGTATGGCAAAAGGTGACAAATATGGCACATCATGACAAATGAGAATAAGATGTCCTAAAAATCTTTGCTAGCCCCAGAAGTCTTTGGATTAATTTAGAAACTACATGTGGTAGTTTGTTAGTTTAAAAACTTCTTTTTATTTTTTGCGCATGGAAGTTTTTGTGGCTTCACTTTTGTTAACTGAAATTGATATTGAAGATAAACCTGGTTTGTCTGTTTGTTTGGATGTTGTTCCAAGTTTTCAGGATAAAATTTAGTTTTATAAGCTAAAGATCTGTTTTTGATGCCAGGTGGAAGTCAAGTTCAGGCATCTAAATAATGCCACCCACTTCCTACAAAGTTAGTTGGTAGAGCTGTTTTTAAGAGAGTGTTTGGTATCATTACCTCTGTTCTGCAGAGGAGTAAATGAAGAGCAACTTCACTGAGAAGAGATTCTCAGTGCAATTGAGGAAAACTTGGCTATTCAGCTTAATAAAATGTAAATGGCATGTCTGAATAAAAACTAGCTCTTTTGTTGTATATAACGTCTTCTAGGTTAGTGCTGGTCTCATAAAGTTATTGATGCTTTTACAGAGAATCCATATGCATTTCAGCTGACTAGGCTGGTGTGTCTCATGATCAGGATTAAAGTCTAAAAGTGGGAAATACCAGCCTGTACAATAGTGGACATTTGGATTTCACTAAAGCTTATCTTGTAAATAAACTATCTTGGATGCCAAAGAGGAAATTCTTCACTTGACTGTTTCTTATTTGTTTTATCAGGATAAAGATGCTAAATTCCGCCTGATTCTGATTGAGAGCAGAATTCACAGGCTGGCTCGCTACTACAAGACCAAGAGAGTGCTACCACCCAATTGGAAGTAGTAAGTGTTTAACTGGCTTTTCCTCCTTTTTTGCTATGGAGAATCCCCCTGGCTCCCCATGCCCCATAGTTGATAGTGAAGTTAAAGCTCAAAATCTTAGGACAGCATTTTTATATGATCAGTGTATGCTTAAACAAGGAAGCAGAGCAGTAGCTGGTGGTCCAAATTTGACTATATTTAAATGCTGGACAATCCATGGCCAATAGCAGAGTGGAGTTAAATTTGGGCTTATCCTGCAAACATAAGTTTGTATGTTAGAGTAACATTTTACAGTATAATAGTGGAATCTTTTCTATTTGTATTAAGCATCTCTAGCGAGGGAGAGTCTGAAACCTCCTGTCATCTTTGTTCATATGTCAGCTGTGCACTTTTTGTTTAAAAATGCGGGTTGGTCACTGTGATGTTTGACTTTCCAACCATTTGCAGTTTCCACCAGAAAGGTTGTTCCTCAGTGTTGGCTAAACCTTCCTTGGATGTCTGAGTGAGCCTCTAGTCTTGGAAAGTGTAACTTTAGATAAGCTGAAGGTTGCTGATGCTGAAATGGCACAGCCATGAAAAGAAGAATACAGCTCCCTTGTGTTTCAAGAGAGCAGCCTTAGAGCAGTGAGAGGAATGAAGGAAAGTGAGTAGGTGATAATTGAGGATATAATCAATAACGCTGACACTTTTTTAAATATTGTCAGGCTCTGGTTTGAAGTTGGATTTTTGGCAGCTTTTTTGAGTAGCTGCCATAGCAACTAATTTGTCTTTCTTTTTTTCAGTGAATCATCCACAGCTTCTGCCCTGGTCGCATAAGAGTTGATTTCTTTTACTTTAAAAGAATAAAGTTACATAACTAAAGTCCTGTGTCTGCTTTTAATTTTCGGCATTTAATAAACACCTACAAGCTTCAGAAGTGGTCCATATATCTTACGGAAGGTACAGCTCCTATTAAAATATGGTGAAAAAAGTAGTCAGCCAGATTTTGTACCACCTTTCTTTGGATAATATGTGGCACTCTTCAGTAAGTGAACCTCTTATGGAATCTAGCATCTGGAGTGGAGCTCCTGCTGCCCTCCATCCAGTCAGTGTTAAGAACCAGAAGTGCTTAACAGAACAGAGACTGACAAGCCGCCAACATGCTTGTGGTGCCAGTGAAAGTTGGTCTAAGTCCAGTTTCCCTAGTCCATGATTAGTAACATAGACTGCTAAGAGGGAGGAAGTGGGGAACATGTTTTACATGTTAGTTTGACCTGGCTCTGCCATGTCTGTATAGATCAGGCATTTCAGCAGGGCTTTTGGATGCTTTTATCTAAAGCTGATTCAACTGGCTATTGGACAAAAGCGATGAAAAAGCCCTACTAAAGCACTTGACTGATACAGATGTTGGCTGAGCCAGGTCCAACTAACGTGATCCTCTGGGGCATGCGCTGGGCTCTGTGTTTTACAGTAAAGCACTGGTTGGTGGAGACCTGCATCTGTAAGCAGCTGTAATGTGTATTGACTTATAGTGGGTATAAACTAAATTTGCTGAGAAGCATTCATGTTATTTACAGGTAAGGAAAGATTTGTTTTTCCTTTTGTACGTGGCCTAACATGGGGTTTGGGTGATGTTATTAGAGTTTTTTTTTCTTCCTATTGATTTCATATGAGAGCTAGTGATCATATCTGGGGGGAGATGAGGGAAACCATTGTAGCTCAAAGCCTGATTTAATGCATTCTTCCCCTATTGGGCATATGGTAGTTTAGCCTTGTATGTCGCTTAAAAAAAAATAAATGAAATCTTACCAAAATTGATATCCTCTCTTGCAACTTTTCTAAACCTGCTGTTTGCCTGCCTGAACCTGTTATGCCAGAATTAGATACATTTTAGAAGAGCAGTATGTTCTACTTATAGCAAGTGTACTTTTGAGTTACAAATGCAATTGTTGGTTACAAGGGCTGGTAAATGCATATACTGTATTGGACTTGCTGCCCCAAGTGGTTGCATGAGGCATACCTAGTGCTTCTGGTGTTATTAGATATCTATATAGATGGCACTAGAGGGGAAAAAAACAGCTTCTGGAGGTTTGTAAGGCCCATGAAATTTTTCCTGTGTGCAGCATGTAGCCTCATTCCTTCACATAGCCCCTTCACCTGAAATGAGATGGGAACCTGCAGTGCTGATGGAGTTAGAGAAGTTAAGAAGTTTACTGACCTCTGGTGTGACAACTGACTATGGAAGCAGTCAGGAAGAATAGATTAATACAACTAGCTTCTGTGGGGGTGAGCATAATGTGGGTTTGTTGATGACCTAAAATGCCAGTAGTCTCAATCCATGATAGAGTAGCTCTCTCTGGCACTCATAGAACGTTCCATGTCACAGAACTACTTCAGTTTTCTATTGGGGTCGTAAGATGCTGGGTTCATACAATCTTGCAGGCTTTGCCTTCGTTTCTAGTATGTTTGGGGTGTGTATTCTTTGACTACAGCTGGCTAGTACAGTGGTTCTGAACCAGGCACTTCGGGGTGATTAGAGATCCTTTTGGGGTGCTATGCAATGTTAGCTTTTGTTAGGTGTGCAAATGTGATTCACAAGATAAAGCCAGAGATATCAAATAGGAATTTGTAGTGTCAAAACATTTTCATCTATTTTGGACTTTCTGAATTCTTTGTAATAAAAGAATTATTTTTATGAAAGAGTGAGTGAAAACTAAGACCTGGCATTTTCTGAGGGTCTAAAAAAGATGAGAACCCCTGGGCTAGTAAGTAAAGAATATTCTGTCTCCTAGCTTCAACCTAGATCTAGGGCAGTGATGAGCAATTATTTGGGCTGGAGGGCCATGTAAGTAGTTCTGTTGTGTGTTGAGGAGAGAGGGGTGCTGACCCAGCCCAGTGCAATGAGGAGGGAAAGGGCAATTGGTCCTATCTACCATGCATCCACAGCCAGGGCCACCAGATGGAGCAGGTGGGTAAGCAGCATCTCCATGGAATCCCCCCCACCATGGGCAGGGCATGGTGGATGGGGTTAGGCAGGCAGGCATGGATCACAGGAAAGTGACAGCATGGGCCAGTCTTGGGCAGAGCCTCAGTCTGCTCCCTGCATGTCTCCATGACAGATGCCTGTTCCAGGGATCAAGGCTGTGCCTTAGGCCCTGGTCCCGAGCTGTCATGGCCCCGTGATCCTGTACACTACTCCCTGCCTGCCTGCGGCCCCATCTTGGCAGAGTGTGTCCTGACTGCAATGGTCCCAGGCCAGTCTTCACGGGTCCCCTGCCTACCTGCTTTCTTTGGTACTAGTTCCAGGGTAGACTGGCAGTGGCAGCCAGACAGTGTGAGTCACCACTGCAGGGGCTACTGGGAAGCCCAGTCCAGCTGCCACACCATGCACCCAAAGGTTGGCAGAACCAGCCACACATGCCATGGTCTGAGCTGCCCCCTGTGCCTGGGCTGGTGGGTCCCTCAGTCCCCTACACGGGCTAGGTTAAATGCCTTGGTGGGCTGAATCCATCCCATGGGCCCTATTTTGCCCACCCCCTGTTCTAGGGTTTAGGTCCAGGTCCTAGCTGAAGCAAATAAGCACAGATCTTGCAAGCAGTTTCTAAAGTCACCCTTTCTTCCATATGGCCAGAGCAAGAGCAACACAGATCTTGACAAACCAATCAAGCAGGAGTGGCCAACCTGTGCCACGAGTTGCATGTACAGCCACTTCTTGTGGCATGCAGCAAACCTAGATTCATAGATTCATAGATTAA